AACATACATTATTGAAGAGAACATTCAGTACAAACTCTAAAAGCATGGGATTCAGCAATATATTGAAAACATCTCTCTATGAATTTAACATACATGTAAGTATTTATTTCCAATATACGGCCCAAATGCTATGTGATTAGAATTTTTGTTTACAGGAAATCCATGCTCTATACAATATGTACCTACAAAATCACACCAATACCATGCTGGTGGGACTGCAGAAAGAAATTGACTAGTCCTGAAGAACTTTGGCCTTGCGGGGATTAATTTGGCTTGTCATGTGGCCTCAGCCCGATTTAATTATGGTTAGTAGAGGTTGTTTATTTAAAAAGAGCAGTCAGTTCAAACCAGTGTTTTCAAAGCCAGACCGGATCAGATGGTCGGACCAGAAAAACTGGTGGGAACTGTCATTTGACTAGTTTTGTTTTATCCTAAAATCATTTTTTGGCTAAGAACCGTTGGTTTGGTTAGAGAATTGTTAATCCATGTGGTTGAACTGTTGAATTATCAACCTCGATAACAGCTTTTTACCGTTTTTTGTTTTTATATTTTTTATAATTTTTTGTCAGAATGGGCTGTCTGTTCGAACTGAACAATCGGACCAGTCGACCTAAAAACCTTGGTTCAACTTTGCCTCAACTCTTAACAGATTTTATAAAATTTCTTTTTAACAACTTTCCCTTAACTCTATGTTTCTCATACCCTATCACACCAAATACAGAAGTAAAGTTGACTATACTCCTAGCTTAATCGACAGGAGAGATCTTCTTTCTTTTCGTTCTTCCTGCAGCTGCTGCAGTGTTAATCCGTGTTGATTCCAGGAAGTGGAATAAAGGCTGGTTGGGAGGCAACACAAATAAGACAGAGGCTCAAAGTAAGTACATCACTGAGCTCATAAGTCAAACCAACATATATGAAAAGGGTTCATGTTAGCAAAAGATGGGAAATGATTTATGAAAAGATGGGTTAATGTATGTGCGTGACACCTCATAAAAGTGTTTGAAACCCTGAAGAGACATGATGGAGCGCTTGAATTCAACAACGCTTCTGTTCTGTCTGTCATTCTCCTCAAGTTCCAAACAAACCCCCCCTCCCAAACACAGTCTAATAGTCTAATAGCCTCCAAATACTGTGTTGTGTCATGTGTGTGTGGAAAAGAGACAAGTTTTAGTGGCTTCTGAAAGAAAAAGAAGAGAAGGCTTAAAGATGAGCATTAATGTCAACTGAAAAATGAAAGGTTTGTAGCTTTTGCAATGCCCACTTGTGAACATCATCATTTGGGTGTCAAAAGCTAGCTTGCATTGTTTTGAAAGTCGGGCCGAGATGGTGATTGGACCATCATTTTGGACTAACCAAAACATGGAAGCTGCTGCACAGGAAATCCACTGGGATAAGTAGACTCTATTCCACTTCACAAATTTGAAATTACAACCGCTTTCTACTCTACTATTACCCTCCCCCTCCTATAACCGCATCCTATCCATGAATTTAGCATTGATCCTTAGGATTCACCCCACCTGTACAATAGGGCTAAGATTTATTGGGGCGGATTCAACAATAAAAACCCTTTCTTCTTTTAGGGCCTGTTGTTGATTATAATAAAAAACAGGGAAGTTGTTTAAAATTCGCCATGAGTTCTTAGCATTTCTCTTAAACTCACCATAATTTTTCAAAATGTCTAAAACTCATCATGTCACTAACTTGACATTAAACAGACTAACGGGTGTTAATATATTACCATTTTAAACTTCATAAAAAAATATAAAATATATACAAAATAAATTAGCGGGTGTTAATATATTACCATTTTGAAATTTAGACATGAAAAAAAGGAAAAAGTTCAAAAAATATTTTCATATATAAAATACATAAAAAATATAAAAATTATAGAAATTGCAAACAAAATTAAAAAAAAATATTTTCAAATTATAGAAACTATAGAAATTGAAAAACAAAATAAAAAATAAAAATTAGAAAAAACACCAAAAATTATAGAAAAATGCAGAAGTTACAAATAAATAACAAAAAATACAGAAAAAATTATACATTGTAGAAAATAGAAAGTGTAAAAAAACAGAAATTATAAAAAAGCATTGGAAATTATAGCAAAACACTAAAAATGAAAAAAAAAACAAGAAAGTTGAAAACTGAAAAAGACCATTTTTCCTCTAACTCGCCATTCAGGGTAGTTTGGTCATGAAAATTGTTATTTATGCTGACGTGGACACCTCTATTAAGAAGCATTAACGGTGCACTAACGGAAAGTGGATTTTGGAAAATAAAAACTTAATGACATGGTAAGTTTTAGACATTTTGAAAAGTTGTGGTGAGTTTAAGGGAAAAGTTGAAAACTCATGGTGAGTTTTAAACAATTTCCCTAAAAATAAAGGTTCAAAGCATGGTTTAACCAGATCGGACTGGATGGTTGGATTAGTTGACCCGGGAATCGGTTAGGTAACTGGTTCCATTTCACCCTAGATAAAACCGCTTTTTAGCCAAAAACCGTTGATTTTGTCAATAACCCGTTGACTCGGGTAATCAAATTGTTGACTTAGACAATGGTTTTTGGCTGTTTTTATTTTTAAAATTTTTTTAGGTCAAAACAGGCAATTCATTCAAACCGGACAATCAGAGTGTTCAATCCGAGAACTGGTCCCCATAACGGTTTTGTGTCCGTTTCGGTTTTAAAAACCTTGGTTCAAAGTATGGGTATTATGTATTATTTCCATATGCTCAAAAATGGATATATATTGAGATATGCTTTAGATATGCATAAATATGGTGGAAGGATATGGATATATTTGAACACAAGAGAAATTTTCATAAATATTACAAATGGATCAATAACGCTAAATCTAAGATTAAAATAATTATAAATAAAGAAATAATGAATGTATACTTAATGATTTATATGAAGAAAAAAAAACACATTACAATCAACAATCACGAGTCTTGGATATATAAAAATCATACGCACGAAGCTTCTAACATAATTATTTTATAATTTTTAATTATATAAATTATCCAAAACTAAAAATACATAAATTTTGGTAAATTGTTGTGGGATCAATAGGGTTCATAAATTATTGATGGAAATCATTTAAAAGGGACAAAGTATTCTAATAGAGGCCTAAATTAAATATTAGAATGGTAGCCACAACTTATCTTCTTCTTCTTCCTCTTCGTTTCAACAGCTAATTCTTTATACGAATGTATAAGCTATTTTTGGCTTTTTGTAAATTGGGGTCTCTTCAACATGCTTAAGAGATGAAAATAGGAGACAGTGAAGTGACGGAAGGCTGTTGTAGATGACAAATATGACAATTGGTGAAAAATAAAGATTCCACAAACACAAATATTGTATTGCATTGTAATGAAGGGTGATTTGGTTCGACCTAGAAAGAAGGGGACACGTGGGTGCGATCTGATCAAGGGATGATAGTTCAGTCTGGCAAGTCTAATTCGCAACATTTGGAGCTCGGGTATTCAGCCACCTCGGTGTAAAGGCACCTCGACATCCAATCCAATTCGAAACTAAAGAATCAAAGTACCAGGTCAGAGCTAATGACCCGAATCACCACGGAACTGACTCCAGAGGTCTCTCCAACAGATCCTAAGTTACTCGAGATCACGATGAGCTAACAAATCTCAGCTTTTCCAAGATCACGATGAGAACTCGTCCCAGCTCCGCCAGAGTCGGAGATGAAACGATAAGCCTTATCTACATACCGCTCCTCCAAAAGCGGAACGAACCTTATCTCCACACCCCGGAGATCCCGGAGCTCTTTCGTGAGACCCACGATTACTCCAATATATAAAGACAGAAACTTCAAGGCAAAGGTACGCGTGATTACTCTACTCTCTAGCACTCAAGTTCTCAAGCATTCAGCTCGCATTTATAGTATATTTACTGACTTAAGCATTGGAGTGACATCGTCGGGTTAGCTACTCCGGGTTCTCTGATAGATTGTTTTGTAGACCGATCCGGCTCGCCGTCTACCTGGAGTCTAGATCACCCTCCAGCTAGGAGTAGTCAGATCGCGCACCATCACATTGTATATACGTATCGATTTGTATCAACCAATACAAATGCAATAAATACATTACTATAAAATACTGCATGAGTAGAATGTCCACGAGGTCCATTCCACCTATGCTATGTTTGGATGCAAACGGGATTTCCTACTCACTATCTACCCATCGTCAAGTGCAATCATACATCTCTATTATGAATTGAAAGATGAGTGACTACAATTCATGACGAATAGAGAATGAATAAGAAAAGTGAATAGAAAATCTGGGTTCGTTTGGATGGTCTTGAGACTTGGAAATCGATACTATACAACACCTTTCAACACCATATCACGTTGATATTCTAAACCTTGATAAGAACAACTGCATTAAACCCTTTTGCAATATATAGATTGGCCCAAGTAATTAGCAAAGTTTTGTACTTGGACAGCATATATAGTTTAGTCATGGGGATATTCAAATATGAGTTTATATAGCCTTAATCAAATTCATATATAGACATAAATTAACTAGTGATATCAAAATGATTTGTGACATAAATATTTGTTTAAGATATATATAAATTAATGGATTCAAGAGTTGTAAAGTACTTATATTTGTTGAAACTAAATTTAGTTAGATTAAAGGATGGTCACAAAGTGTCACTGCACAAAAACAAAACCCGTGGTGTTAGGCTACATTATTATTCATTCCATAATAATAATAATAATAATAATAATAATAATAATAATAATAATAATAATAATAATAATAATAATAATTGCATGGAGGAGGCTTTGGCTCAAATGCTTTGTGTGTCCCCAACAATTCTCTCTCTCCTCTCTCTCATACAATGCAAACAGATATAACAGCATTAACATTTTGACCCTATTTAGTATTTAATAGAGTTTCATAAACCAGGATGCTTTGTGGCTAGCTTATATATATGATTATATAAAGAAGACCTTTTCTTTTCATTAATTCTACAAGAAATTAAAAGGGGCTTCATTCCGAGCATTGAACCATTACAGAAACGCCCTCGCTGCGCTCACTGGCCTCGATCTGTCAATTTCTAAACACATGCTTAATCATCTGCCCATACCCCAGAATTGATGCTGACTATCTCTGCTCCAAAGCTTTAAGTTGATATCGTACCTTGAATTGAATCCAATCTAATATTAGCAATCTTGCGAAATTTGCTAATTAATTCATCTGAAAACGTTAATTAATGTTTAGCTAATAATAAATCTTGCCAAGTTATAGCTAGCTAGCTCATTCATGATTCATCTTATGACTTGACATCGTTAAATTAGTTGTAATCAAGTTACGATGTACCTGAAAAGGAGAAACGCACAACGGTGCATGATTGTGTCTTGTTAACAATTCTCTCACTACCACCCGTCCACCCTCCACCCACCAGAAACAAAGAGAAGAGCAAGAATTTGTCACCTTTTGAACAAATCTAGGCACATGGGTTGTTTTTTCACTTTTCATAATACAAACTCCCATCATCTTAACAAGTCGATACCAGAGCCCAGAGCCCAGAGATGAGAGAAACCTCTGCCTGCCAATTGCTTTGCTTGATTACCATCTTCGTCCTGTAAAATTTAATATTGGATTGATTCCAATTAATATTTTTGTTCGAGTTTCTTGATGATGACCTTACTGTTTACTTTGTTTAGTACTCAATGCCATAATTGTTCAGTCCCAACTAACTTGCATTGCAAGAGAAACGAACGACAAGGAAGAAAAGAAAAAAAAAAAAGGACTCAAGGACTGCAGAAGATTAAAGTTCAATATTAAGAGTAGCTGTGTCTCTCAGTCTCAGCAACATAGAGGCTTTTCTTTACAACTACAGCTACTTACAGAAAATCTGAATAACACTAATAAATATATGACAAGTTCCCAAATCCCAAGTAGTAGAACAAGAAAAAAAAGAAATACAATTAATAACAGAAGGAAAAACATGTATTTCTGAGAGAGATAGAGAGATTCAATAATACAGTGGATATATTGTAATTGTACATAGGAGCAGTCACGAGGAGACTCTTCATAGATCTGTGAGAATATTTATTCTCTATTCACTCATCAGCCAACAAATAAAACAACGAAAACGAGGCCTGCAACAGCATATTTCTGTACATACAAAAACAAGGAAAATCCATGACAAGATAAGTAAATCAATGGCTTCCTAATTAACGCTTGGGTACTCTCTGGAGTGCTTCTTCAGTGATCACTTTCGCCATTTTTCTTTTGTTTTCCTCACATGCATATCCCATGATCCACTCGTGGACAGATGCTCAGGTCGAATAAAGCCCTCATTTGATTCTTGAGAATTAATCTTCAAACAGCTTGTGTGATGAGAGGAAATGTTTATAAAGAATTCAATGGTGGAATGGGGGCAGTGGGTTTGATTCAAATAGCTTAGCTCAGGAGGGATAGACAGAGAAAAAGAAGGTGAGTTGGGTGGAAACAGGGAAACAACAGAGATCAAACTCCCTATCCTTGGTATTGGATAGAGAATTAATCACAAACTGAAAAACAAAGAAAGCAAGCGTGACATGGGGTCTTACAAGGCCAAGAAAAGGTCTTACAAGGTCAAGAAGACTAGAAAAATGGGAATAAAGGTTGGTGATTGGATAAAAGAATAAAAAAAACACAACAAAAAAGATTAAAGAGGTGAGGAAGGTGTAGTGTAAAAGCTCAGGTAGGATAGCACCTAATCAAGGTGAACACTCCATTTTTATCGACAAACTTCCATTGTCAAGACAAAACCCCATTAAGATCTCTTCATCATCTTGTGAAGCTTTTGTTCCTGAAGATTCAGGTTGGACTGGAGAATCTGATTCCTGAAGCTTTGAACATGGAGATGATGGTGGAGAACCCATATAAGGCACTGCTGGCTTCAGAGCGCCAAGTGACCTACAAGGAATATTAGAATGGTGACAGCAAATTAATTGAAGAAGCAAGATTTGAGCTGAAGTTTTAGTATTAGAAGAAGCAAAATCTGTTTCTCCTAGCTACCAATTGAACATGGGGAAAGTCTGCTTTGATCCTGAGCTTGTCATGCTGAGATATGAACACCAGCTGCAAGACTGAAGAAAATTAATATATGTAAAGAATGTCAAAGGAGATGTCACAGAGAGAGAATCAATTATTTCTGCATTTAAGCTGAGCTCTATCTAACTGCATGTAGATAAGTAAACGGAAACAGAAGAAAATATTATTCTAACCCATTAAACAAGAACAACATAAAACAGACCTATTGCGGCAGGATCAACTTGGGCCTTCTTAAGCTGCGCTCTTACCGCGTACAAACTTCTCCCTTGCTTTCTTGTCTGAAAACTTCTCTCTGCCTCGAAAGAAAGAAAAGAGAAAACTCATACGCGGAGAGAGAGAGGTGGGAAGTGAGAAGATGGTGAGGAGATGGTTGGGCTTTAAGAAGGGAAGGCTGGGGACAGCCAGTGGGCTGCCCAAGTGGACCTGACAGCGACAGGTCCAAGCCCAGAAAGAATGTAAACCGGCCTTCTGACGTCAGAACGCTCACTCACTTGAGGCGCTTGCCCGCCGATACTGACCGTGCTGCACCAGTCGGCAAACTGAGAATACGGCAAGAGAATAAGGGTTCGTAAATAAGCCAAATTGTGTTTGGCCTTTTTTCCTCATCTCATCATTTCTTTTCTTAAGGAATATTTCTCTCTCTCTCTCTTGAATTAAATAATTTATTGCTTTATATTTTAGTGGATGGGATTTTTTTAATAAAATATTATTTTACAAAGTATAGTAATTTCTTTGATGGCCACTTACAGTTACAGTAATTATTAATTAACTAGTCATGTTATTTTAGCCATTAAGGAATTCTTAAACTAACCTAATCACAAAAAGAAAACTTCAGCCACCGCAAGACTTTAGGGTCCTCTGGTTGAATAGCATATTAATTGGTTAATTAGGTCTGTTAAAATATTAATCATTAATCAAAGTACGAAAAGTAGTATGGTAATTAATTCATATATACTGGATACTAGTTCAGTGGTACATGGGAGAGAAGAAAATAATTAAATAAATGGATGCCAACACAAGACAAGGGCAGGTGCTCATTAAAAAACATTAATGATAAGAGGATTAAATAAATAATATCCCAAAATTTTAGATCCTTTGTTTCTCTCTCCTCTTCAACCAACTTCATTAAATAACTATTTATCTTCCAAAAGATTACTAGAAAAATCAAAATCACTACAATATGATGCCCAAGTATGACAAAACATTATAATTAATTAGCATGGAGGATATTTTAGGATTGAAAATAAAAATTGTATAAATTAATTTAATAATAATAATAATTAGTTAAGAGGGAGGGGAACATAGGGAATGGAAGCGTGTGGGCACGCGGGAGGGTTACGATCACACAGTCTTCCAGGATACGGTCAAAGGGAGAGTCCTTGGCCTCTGTGTTTCTACATTTAATTAACATTTTGTATTTAATTAATATAAAACAATTCATAACGGGCAGCTACGGGCACATTGACCTCTTCTTGTTCATGCTGCCCCCATTGTCCTGCCTGACCTAACCCCATCTGCAATATTCCCTTATATCTTATAACTTGTCGCTGTTAGGCCCCACCCCCCCTCCTTCCTCTCATTGACGTATGGTCATGCACTTTTGTTAAACCATTTCATTCTCTCTCTCTCTCTCCCCCTCAAACCCTAAGGCTGTGTTTGGCTAACACGGCAATAATTTGGGTATAACTGGGCCCTAGTTAGGAACTGAATGGCATTATTAGAGAATGATCAGTGATCAGCCCTTCATACCAGTCACCACCCCCATCACCCACACTAAATACAGAGACCATCTATCTGGAGACTGGAATCTGGGTTTCTCTCTTGTCTTTGCCTCTTAGATGAGTTAGTTAATGTAGGTTAAGACTGTTGCGTGACGTTGACCATTATTTAATTCTAAAATGTAAAAGAGAGAGAGAGAGAATGAATGAATGAATGTATCACGGAGAGAGAGAGAGAGGGGGGGAGGGGGGGTTGGGCATTGGCTTGAATGCTAGCTTCCCTATTGAGGGTTAAACTTGCTCACTGATTAGCAAAAAAGAAAGAGAAGAAAGGGAAAAAAAAGAAGAAAGAAAAGAAGAGGTTTAAGCTAAGCGTATGAAAGCAAAAATCACACACGTACCCATTGGTGTACGAGGTGTGGACTTGAAGGAAAAAAATGATTAAATATGGCAATAATGGAAAGCTGATCATGAAGAAAAAGAAGATAAACAGAAGGACCGAGGATCGAAACAGAGAAGGAAAAAAGAAAAGCTGCAAAGATTCTTGGGGAAATAGAGGGAGAGGGAGAGATGATGATGAAGCGAAAGTGGTCCTCTCACCTCGTGTTTAGTTTGTCGTGGTGACAGTTTCCCAACTCTCGCAATCTTTCAATTCTCCTTCTATCTTCTCTCTCCCCACACCGCCCTCCCAGGCCAAAAGATTCTGCCTTCTCTCGTCTTCTAATAGTTTCAGGGTAAGCGGTAAATTTCTGGCTTCACCATCTCGAAATCTTCTTCTCCAACTTTTTTAACCATTTTGGGGACTAATACTAATTCACACCTCGACCCATGACGTGACTGCTAGCTATTTCCTCGTCTTTGTCCTTCAACACCCGCAACCCTTCTAGCTCATGAATATATCTAAACTTCTAATAAGTGATAAACCCTCCACTCTCTCTCTCCCTCTCCCTCTCCCTCTCCCTCTCCTTCATAGACTCCATACCCATCGATGCAGACTTGACGTCCTAGCTATTTAGGAGCTTCTCTTCTATCTAAGCTCTCTCTACTCTCTACCCAGGTGCTCGATTTGTCTATATATTGATTGACTCCTCCCTTGTGATGATATGATTCAATTTCACTTTACCTCCTTTAATTTGCTTGCATTCAAATTAATCACTTCTGCCCTAGGTTTCAGTGCTATTGCTACTTGATTTGTGCTAGCTAGCACCACAAATTTTGCAGAAAAAGGTGATGGTCGTGGTTCTTGGACACAATTCACTCCCATCTCAACTATGTATCCAAATTAAACTATAGACCGAGTAGACTATATATAGACTTGAGAGTCAGAACTGATGAGAGCTAGCGAACTAATTGAATACCATGCATGCATGGTTGTGATTGAACTAGGCGCATCTTTGTTTGGTCTGTCACTTTTCCCAAGATGATATTTCTTAAAATTAATGGGTTTTCAATTGAGCGGGACCAAACATGATGCCATGCCACTGATGCCAGCGGCCAGTCCAGTCGTGTGTTGTGTTCTTTAATCTTTAGTACTCTTTGTAATTTTGTACTGTAATGAGGGCGCGGGGGAAAATTATTAATTTTAATAAACTTGCTATATATATATCCACCCTCCAATATCTTAATGTTAATTAGTTTTGGTGTATCGGATGCGCCTCCATCTGATCTCGAGGGTGGTGTAGGGTATTGGGTATCGTGGCATTTATTAAAATAAATTTGTTGAAATAACATGTCTGAAGTAAAAGATTTGTTACGTTGGAAAACGATTTATATACCTATGAGTCCATGACCCAATAGGTTAAACCCTAAAATACTATTAAGAGTGCAATCAAGCCCAGCTGAGCCCAACTTTGCATATATATTGGCTTGGCTCGACCTAAAACACTATCAGGTTTAAGTTTGAGTTGTAATTCAATTTAAACTATATTTTCCTGTTCGAGCTCAGTTTTATCAAATATTCGATGATTTTAAGTTTGTACAAAAAGCTCGAAGATGAATAAATTTTTTAATATTATTGAGATATATATGATATATTCCTTTATAATATATAAGATATTCTTATATTATATAGAACATAAAAATATATTTTCTTATGTATGTATGTGACAAAATTTTTTACTTATCGAGCTCAAATTCAAATAATTAATCGAACTAACCCAACGTTCGAACTCGAATTGAGCCTAATCTAACTCAAACCCAAATTATACGATGAAAGTTTGATTCAATTGCAGCTCTATTAGAACCAGCCATAGACCTTACTAGCAAGATAAAAGAAAAAAAAAAAGACTTTGGCTGTGCATGATATATTACCCCATTCAGTTCCTTCTTATCTTTTTGGTTAATACAAATATCCTTTTGTTCTAAAACAGCAGAGGTATTTTTACCAAACAGCTAAAATTCTCCCACAACATATACAGCCAAAACACAGCACAAGGGGCCTTGAGCCTTTAAAGGTCATAAAAGAGCCTAAATTTTGTTATTGTAATTTGTAAATATTCTTCTAAGGACAGCTACAAGTTTGAAGAATCCAAAGGACCAATGCAGAAAATTCCTTCATTTAATTAATTTTTTCAGGAGTATCATTGCATGCGTCTTCCAATGCATAGATAAGGTGGATGATGTGTAGCCCCTCTGTCAGTCCCCCCGTTTCCCTCTCTCTCTCCCCTCCAAAATGGGGATGTCAGTGCATTGAGTTTAGTGATAAATCCACACTACTTACCCACCCAATTTTATCAGATTGAGGTAAATTTGTGCTAATGTGGAAGGAGTACAAATGTAAATATATAGTGCGCAAAATCTTGTAGTTTGTATTATTTTTTATATATTTATACTGTACATGTTTATATTTATACTCCTTCCAAACTGACCCTTAACAATGAAATGTTTATAATATATATAGGCTTGGTTGAGATGTTGATGTTTTAGTGGTTGGGTTTGATTTCCTTTCATTATCTAATCATTCTCATCCAGGTTGAGTTGAGGTTATCAGGTTTGGATCGAGACAAATTCATACTAAACCCTACATCCCTACTTTATCATGCATAAAATCAACTGAAGTCATCTGCACATCCCATATTTTTCATATAGGTCATGTTTGTTATCAGTAAGGTTCAAATTTTTTATACGATACGTTTCGCATCAGGCATATCAGGTTCAAATTTTTTATAGGATCCCTCTCTTTTTTAATAAAAAATATGTTTAAATATCTTCCTGAAATTAAATTTAAAATATATATATATATACTTTTTTTAATTTACTATTGTTCTCTCTCAATTTTAAGTCTCCTATTTACTATTGTTCTCTCTCAAGATTCCAGTACTAAAATTAATAAATTGGGTACATGTGGGGAGGGAAGAGCATGTTCATCAATCATGACTACCACAAGCAGAGATGTCAAATCTGAATTTGAAGGACGATCAGAATAAATTTTCTTACATGAATTGAAATTGTCAGCATCCTCTGTTTCCAAACTGTTTTGAAAGAATCCCAAGTAAATTATCAATGGATCGGAATTGAGTTCGATTCAATCCGACCCCACTCCAATAAATTTGTATTTGAACATGGATCCATCAATTTCACAGTTCTATAATTAAATTGGATCCATTAAAAAAAATGGATGGGGGTAAGGGTGTGAATGGACCAGTTCATATTA